CGAAGTCTACCATACAAAGATACAAAAACTCAAGGGTGGACGTTGGCGTTACAAACATACAGTGTCTGTGACATGCGCAAAGTTTCCATACAAAGATACAAAATTCAAGCGTGTACGTTGGTGTTACAAACTTCCAGCGTCCTTGAAATTTGGAAAGTCTAACAAACAGAGATACACAAATTCAAGGGTGGACATTGGGAGTTGCCGTCGGCGTTACAAGCTTACAGTACCCTTGGAATGTGCAAAGTCTTCCATACACAGATACAAGAGAATCAAGGGTGGACGTTGGCGGTACAAACTCACAGTGTCCGTGGAATTTGCAAAGTCTACCATACAAACATACACAAATTCTAGCTTGGACGTGGGCGTTACAAACTTACAATGTCCTTGAGATGTGCACAGTCCACCATACAAAGATACAACAACTCAATGGTGGACGTTAGAGTCAAAAGCTTACAGTGCCTTTGAAATTTGCAAGGTCTACCATACAAAGATACAAAAACTCAAGGGTGGACGTTGGCGTTACAAAGTTACAGCGTCCTTGAAATTTGCAAAGGTTACCATACAAAATACACAAATTCAATGGTGGACGTTGGCGTTACAAACTTACGTTGTCCTTGAGATGTGCGCAGTCTACCATACAAAGATGCAACAACTCAATGGTGGACGTTCGAGTCAAAAGCTTACAATGCCCTTGAAATTTGCGACGTTTACCATACAAAGATACACAAATTCAGGAGTGGACGTTGGCGTTACAAGCTTACAGTGTCGTTGAAATTTGCAAAGTCTACCATGCAGATATACAAATCTTCTGCGGTGGATGCTGGTGTTACATACTGACAGTTTTCATGAAGTCTGCAAAATCTACCATACAAAGATACAACTACTCATGGGTGCACGTTGAAGTGACAAAGCAAAGTCTACCATACAAAGATACAAAATTTTCAAAGGTGGACGTTGGCGTTACGAACGTACAGTGCCCTCACACTCCACCATACAAAAGGACGAGTTTCGAGTACTACCCACATTCTTGCCATTCGCCTCAAGGCCCCATACCCCAGACCCTAAACGCCCTAAGCCCTAAACCATCCTAAACCTTACATAAACCCTAGTCCGTCCCCCCATTTATCAAGCACCTCCTCATAATCATATTTCCGGGAAATTAGAATCTAGGGTTTAGGGTTAAAGGTTTATGGCTTCAGGGTTTAGGGCTTGGGGTCCCCTAAGCACCAAGAGCCGTGCCAGCAAGTTGGCAAAGCGCCGGATCTCTTGCGATGCAAAGAGGAAGATCGATGAGGTGGACCTCGACAAGCAGGTCATCTCTTGCTTGGATGCCTTCGGCACCGCTCACCACAGCAGCTTTTTGGCTGAATGCTGCGAGGTGACATGTCGCGGCTTTCCTTTCGACAAGATCCTGACCGGTGCCAGGCTACTCGGTGGCATTCTTTACTAAAACTTTCACTGTGACGCAAGGAGAGGGCTACCTTGTGAAGCGCTTGGGCTTCCAGGTGGAGAAGGTCCTGGAAGCGCCGTCCTCGGCCGGTGCCATGCTCGGCGATGGCTACAACCTCAAGTGCTTGGGGTTGCAAGCTGTGTGGCTACTCGGTGGGATGCCAAGCTGGCGGACATCCACTGCTTGGAGACAGTTGGGAGTGCCCACCGTGGATACAGCTCCATGGTCGGAGAAGGCTTCCCTGTTCGCTGTGTTGGCTTGCATGTCATGCTACTCGGTGGCATTGTTTACCAAAACTTTCACTGTGACACAGGTTGGGTTATGAAACACGGGACAAAAGAAATCTTAGTGTATCTAGAGATGCCAGTGTTGCAGCCATGATATACGACCATATACCATACCGAATGACATCGTTCTATCAGCAGGTAGCGCCAAAATCTTCACATGCATGAGCACGGGCCGGCGCGGCCAGCAATCATGACACGAAATAGATATTTTAGGCTCGCAGCTAGCAAAGAATCACATGCAAAACTTGTGGCAAACTCAGGACGCAGAGGACCGAAGATTTCGATCGCAATGCTCACCTGAGATTCTGAATGGGCTTTCGGGTGTTGGGCGGCAAATTCATTTGAAGCGCAGATGGGGTCCTGGGCCTATCAGTCCGAAACTACCCTGAAAGTTTTTTGATATCAGAACTGTTCAATTTTACACAACAACAACAACAACAATGAACAGGTAAGAGAGCCACAGGCACATACATATATGTGTGTATACATAAGTTCATATGCACATGTATGTAATGTATGTACATCTACATATACATACACATACACATACACATACACATACACATACACATATACATATACATATACATATACATATACATATACATATCGACGCATATATATATATATATACATATACATATACATATACATATCGACGCATATATATATATATACACACACACACACACACCCGTACACACCATTTTCAATCGTGATCGTGGCCCAATTGAACTTGTAGAGGATGGTCTTTGGTCCTCACCATCCACGCATATTGTAGTCGTCCTAGTCGAAATGTCACTTTATCATCGTGGTGCGTCTGTACGTGTTGCTCAAATCTCAAGTCCCTCCTGCAGAAATGCTCGCTTGCTCATGTAACCAGGATATGCACTGGCAAGTTGTGTGCTTCCGAGCAAAAGATGATGTCAGAGAATGTCTTCTCCGACTGCCCGAGCGCTCTGAGTAGCTAGCGGGTCCGGATCCTGGCAACGACGATCTCATGAATCAGAGCCAGAAGAGCCGCCGCTGCTCCGTGACAATCTCTTCTCCGACTGCTCGAGCGCTACGTCTAAGTGAGCCGCGCCAGCCGTTCATATCGCTGAGTTTATGTTTATACATACTTATGCATCTATTCAACTGCGCACTCGCATGTATCATGGACAAATTGGAACGTATTTCTGGAGTGTGTGTCCTAAAGTTTTTCAATATAAAGTCGAAAAGAACGTAGCTTGCACATCAGCCCCAGCGGAGAGCCAGCACACAGGGGAATATTTTACAACGACTAAGTGTTGGACTACACCATACGGTCTTTTCACGTTATTGAGTCTTTGCTCATCTGTGCACTCGCATGTATCATATTCAATTTCAACCCACCAACCGTATTAGTTCCACATCGAAAGATAGTGTACTTCAACACAGCACAGCACGCCGTATTATAGCATACAGGATGTACCACATTAATGAATTCTGCAGAGTGTCGACAGCAGGTGTATTGTTTCAAAGGCATTTGGGCGTGAGGTCAGCTTTAAAGACTGTTTCCACAAGCAGAGACGTGCGGCCCTCCCGTGAATAATGCTGGCGGTGAAACTTGCTGAGCACGCTGTTTGCATTCCTCCTTGCATGGGGATTTTGTGCTTGGTCTTTACGTTTATTACAGCGGAATGCTACGGGACGTGATGATAAAACCGACAGCTTCTACAACCACAGCAGCAACAACAACAACAATTGCACCACCAGCAAGAGCAGCGACAGCAACCACAACAGCAGCAGCAAATGGCACCGAGCGACTTGTCGCGCACAAAACACCGGTCCGAAGCTTTCATCCATCTGCCCCGCACGATTTGCCGAGATGTCGGACCCAGGTTCGTATTGTGACTAGCTATATCGTCCACATCCAAAAGCTTTGCTGCAGCATTCGCCAGAAATTTAGACGTATGACACCCGCACCACGATCCAACGCACGTTTGTGAGACTTCTCAGCACTGCTAAGTAAAGGAGTTTTTGTTGGAACAAACCTTTATGATGACTTTATGGACTCAAACTGCTGTTGTATCGCTAAATTCTGCTTTCCGGAAGCTAATTTGTTGAGGACAGTCCACCACTTTAGAGCACTGGAGCTGCAAAAGTGCTGTGCTGTCCATAAAAACCTATTCTCCGGATACCTTCAGTTCGGAAGGCCTGAAGGTTGCTGGAGGATAACTTTTTTTGGGACAGTACAGCATATTTGCGGCTTGGGGAAGCCAACGTTTAGGGACAGTACAACACTTCGGAGCATCGGCACTTCAAGCGTCCGGTAATCTTTTGAAACTTAAGCTTCTGCCAAACGCAAATGAACGGGACAGACCAGCACTTTAAAGCACTGAGCTTCAAAAAAATGCTGTACCGTCCCTGAATGTCGGCCCTGCCAAACCTAATTTCTGGTGACGGTACAACACTGTGGGCCTTAAGGATTTCAAAGGTGTTATACGGCCTTGTTGTTTATTCATCAGGCATTCCTTTCCCAACAATACAAATAATGTCACTTCTGTTCGTTCCTAGTTGCGCGTTTCGGAAACAGATCCTGGGGGTGCAACATAATCGATGTAAAGAGCTTGTGAACATGCGATGGGCAAGAGACGTCTGGTTGTGTGTGAGAGAATGGAACCGAGACGGTGTGGATGTTTGCGGGGGGAGTGACTGTATATGTATGTATATATATATATATACAATATTATACACACGATATTTTTCCTTTAGGCCTTATAAAGACTTGTTGGAGTTGGAACAACTACGGCATCCTGTTATAATCACTATTCTTGTAAAGCGCACCCGGATTCTGGCATCTAACGTTGATCCGTTCTACCAACGTTGCTGGTGCCCACTGGGCCAACCGGCTGCACATCCTGGACTTTACCACCTAGCTTTTACGCCACAGACTGGCGCGAGGCCAGCTGTAAAGAGTCTCAGGGAAGCCAACTACAACATCTCCGTCGTTGCAGTTTATGGTGTGGGGTTCTCGGCCCGCTAAGAACGTGAACTGGGTCTACATCATCCTGCAACCGTCGCGCCCAAATTCGCAGCGCGGCTTCGGAAAGCTTTCGTCCTGAACCATAGATTCAAGCCTCGCGCCCAACCTGCCTAAACTCCACGGACTTGCATGTTGCACAGGGACCCGACAAGCTCTAGCCTGAACCCTGAACCCTTAACTCAACGTCATTAGCACCTACTGGGCCAGGTGGGTGCCTTTCAGTGCCGACAGCGACATGCGCCTGCGTGCGGCGATGGCAGCTGGGAAGGAGGCGTCCTGTAATGCTTCGTTGAATTTCAGACAAAGGTTCCTGTAAGTATTCCTTCAAGGGTCAAAGGTTTGTTGTTTGGTGGTGGTGCCGGGATGAGCAAAAACCAGACAAGACTAAGCAGTAAGGAAGTGGTAATGGCGATGGTGGTGGTGTTGGGTGGCGCATGAAGGGGCTCCTTAGGTTCTGGAAGCACACTACAGTATGCCGTGGTAGATTTTTGCTATGCGGGTATGGCAAACGTAGAACACCGCTTGCCAAGATCAGCAGCAACAACAACAGGAACAACCGCGCAACAGCGCGAGAACAGACACGCATTGGCCATGCTTTTTTTATACATGCAGGCATGCGAGCTACGCTTCGGTGGCCACCGGCAGCTCAGCTGGACCAATGTGGGCGTTTCAGAAAAGGTCCATCCATCCATCCATCCATCCATCCATCCATCATGCATCCATGCATCCATGCAGGAACATATACATGCATGCATGCATGTGCACATAGAAAGAAACATAGATAGGTAGATAGAGACAGACATATAACGAGAAATAAAGGTAGATATAGATAGAATAGTAATAGTATAGATATAAACGTAAATCTTTGGGTGTAGATATAAACCTAATATGAATGCAGATATACATGTCTGGAATTACTTTTGTATAAAGCCCTAGAAATAGGACCCCTATACTGCGGGCCCCCAAGAGAGGAACCCACTAGATTGCTGCAAACCTCGTGCTTGCAGGGCTTTGGGACACTCAATAATGAGCGTGCTTGTGCTGCGTTGGGACGAAGACGGCTCAGCCTAAGCCGCACCTTTCATGATGTGAAGAAGTTTGCCTTCGCCTGCCCGCAAATGTTAAGTTGGTTGGGCATCTTATGTTTTCAGTTCGGTTGGACTGTAGTTGGTGAGGAGTCATTGCCAACCTCAGGTATCTCGTCGATTTCAACAGCCTCACGCTCCGGACCCAGCTTCCCGCGACAGAGGATTGCGGAATATTGAGTTCGCCGCTGAAGCCGATTTGGGACTGGGTTTGAACGTGTGTAATCCCTAGGCGTGAGACTCCAGCAGTAGCGGTAGCTGTAGCACCCGCAGTAGGAGAGTAGTAGTAGTAGTAGTAGTAGTAGTAGTAGTAGTAGTAGTAGTAGTAGTAGTAGTAGTAGTCGTAGTCGTAGTCGTAGTCGTATGGTAGTGGTAGTGGTAGTGGTAGTTGCAGTGGTAGTGTTATAGTCGTAGTGGTAGTGGTAGTGGTAGTAGTAGTAGTAGTAGTAGTAGTAGTTGTTGTTGTTGTAGTAGTAGTAGTAGTAGCAGTAGTAGTCGTCGTAGTAGCGGTACTAGCAGTACAACGTTGCAGGGGGAGCAGTGTAGTGGCAGTGGTAGTGTGGCCTCTCAGCAAAAACGAGGGCAATCAAGGCAATCCCGTAATGGACGTAGCTTTTAATCACTGTCAGGAAATCGTCATGAACTTTTCCCGTGGACCAAGCAACAAACTAGTGTCCTCGGACCCCAACCCCTTAAGTGTAATCCCTCATGCAGGGACAATATAATACTTGGAATTTATTAGTTCTCAGTGCGTTATACTGCAATCCTACCAAAAAAGCCTGTTCTCTTCCTCAGCTTGGACTCAGAGCCAACCCGATTCGAGTTCCAGGCAGTTGAATCTCGCGACGCAGCGATCACGGCGCATACGGAGGCCCGGCTTGGCATTTTGGACTTGAGGATTTTTCCTCAAGGCTATGTTAGTTCCTCGGAGCGATAGAGTTTGGGATTCAGCTTGGGATTGCAGAGCTCAGGTGCCTCATTTTGACTTGTGTTTGGCATACAGAGTTCCCCATTTGACGGCGCACGTCGACGTAAGGACTCGTTGACTTGGTGCCACGTAACTTACCGTTGGTTAGTAGGGAATGGAAGAATGGTAGTAATAGTAGTCATACTTGTACCCCATTCCTCCATTCCCTACTAACCAACGGTAAGGTAAGAACCATTCAACGCCAGCTTTGGAGGCTTGGAGCGGCCCTCCCGCTGCTCAGGCTCTGATACCAGTACCGAAGAAGAAACAGGAGTAGTACCATTGACTAAAGGTAACACAATAGCAGTAGTAGTAGAAGTAGAAGTAGAAGTAGAAGTAGTAGTAGTAGTAGTAGTAGTAGTAGTAGTAGTAGTAGTAGTACGAGGAGAAGGAGGAATCCGAGTAGCAGGGGCAGGAGCACCAGAACTGCAGCAGCGTCAGCAGTCGCAGTAGCACCAGCAGCAGCAGTCGTCGTCGTAGTCGTCAGTAGTCGCATTCGGTGACCGTTATAGCGTCATGCTAGCAGTCATCGGGGGGAGATATCGGAGAGAAGTAGGGAATCATATTCACTTCTTCGCTTGAGCGGCTCCAGGAAAGGCGGCGCCGCATCCTCTTCGGGCGCACACGAGAAGGTGGAGAGAGCATGTGGGCTTGTGCGAAAAGCTTTGTGCAGGTCGCTTGATCATGCTTGATGCAACTTATAAGGCTTTATTAAGGTCTTGTGGTTGAGGACTCCATTGGTTGCTGCATCATTCCAGTCACACACACACACCAAGGGGGGTTTGCAGCAGTTACAGTGGCTGGGGCCCTTATTATGCTGTCTTGGGCAAGAGTGGCAAATGTGACCAACGCCCCACAGATAATCCTACAGAAGCCGCCCAGCCCGCAATGCTTCGCCCGCATTCCGTCTGCACACTGAACATATGAAGCAAGGCCGTACGACAAAGTCCTCATGACCGAGAGTCTCTGTCTGGGTCTTTGACACCATCTAAACTCCCAAAGCGGAGGATGTTGCTGGGATGAAACGCGGAGGCAAAGATTCCTTATTTTTGTGCTTGTAATCAAGGTGGTTTCCGTGGGTCGTAGATACATGAACATGGTTCAAACGATGATGTTAATCCCGAGGACTCAACTAGTAGGCCACGGGCGCCGACGTTTTATTCAATTAAATGCAGAATCCCTAAAACGTGTACAGTAGAACACAGAACCTATTTTACTATTGCTTCCAGGCGGTAAGGTCCCGGAAAGGCTCTCCAAACGCTGCTGAAAACAGACGCCCTAAATTCAAAAATATTGGCTCAAGATACCATAAACCCTAAACCCCTGAACCCTAAACCCTAACCCTAAACCCCCTAAACCCCTGAACCCTAAATCTTCAGGGATCCACCCCCTGCGTTCCGTCGGCAGGCGCCGAGCCGTCCGGCCGGCGACGCCAAAGCCGAGGCACCCCTGAGAGCCGGCCTAAAGGGGGTTTAGGGTCTTAGTTTCTTGGACTTAGGGTCTTAGCTGGGTTGAGCTTTCGGGGAAATTGAACTTTCTGGTGTTTCCTGGCCTCGTCTGAGAGTGTCGTGTCAAATTGCCAAAATTAGGATTTTCATTTCATTCGAGGATGAAGTGGTACGACCGCCTCACATCTCTGTTGTCGCAGCTTCCTCCCCGGCAAAGCGTCCGCAAAAGTTTCACGTTGCGCCGAAGCAGCAATGCATACATGACGCGGCTGTACATGTTGAAATGTGTCAACCTTAGCTGCTACGCCCATGACTCTGACTTCGCACACTCGAGTTGAGCTGCTGCACACGGGAGTTGTTGGAGCAGCTCACAATCGAGCGAGGGTATGCACATGTCTTGCTGAACCCGTCCATTGTGAATGGGGTGGCAAGGGGCTGTCAGCTGAGAGCGCTTGCCGCAACTTGGCTGGCAGTCCTTTGCGAAGAGAATCCAGTTTCGCCTTATGCTGGTTGCTTTTGCACCTGACAAGAGAGCTCTTTTGTGTCACTCAGCCACTCCATGCCAAGGCAGACTCTTCCCAGAACCCACACAACTGCCAAAACCGAAATCCAGAACCCCCAGACCCCAAGCCCGAAACCCGAAAACCCTGAACCCTAAGGAAGCATGGTGGTGTAACAGGTGGTCCTGCCCTCTAATCCCGGTCCCTGCTCCACAGCCTCAGTCATACTTGCATTCCGACCCCTTATCTCAGGCGGAAAGACCAGGCGGCAAGAAAAATACATAAAAACACCCAAAACCTTAAGCCCTAAACCTTAAGCCTGAAACCTTAAAACCCCAAACCGTAAAACCTTAAGCTCCAAAACCCTAAATGACCCTAAAGCCCCTAAAATCTTAAACCCCTGACACCCTAAACCCTGAGCCTTGAAGCCAGAGACTCCAATACCCCTTAATTAAGGAATATACCTTAAACTATAGTAGGATCCTTTATATGATTTAAGGAATATTCATACCCTCAATTACAGTAGGATCCTTAATCTGATTTAAGGAATATTCCTTAATTAAGGGGCATTGGAGTCTCTGGGAAGCCCCCGAGCCGAAGCTTCAGAGCCCCATTCAGGCGCCTGCGCCACCCGAAGCCGCAGCCAAGGGCGCGGCCAGGGCATCCGAGCCGGAGAAGCCGGCGAAGGCGGGGGTGGCGGGGGGGGGTGGGGGGCGGGGGGGAAGCTTACTTCTAGGGTTCAGGGTTTCGGGTTTAGGGTTTTAGGAAGTTTAGGGTTTTAGGGTTTAGGAAGTTTAGGGTTTCAGGGTTTGGGGTTTTGGGGGTTCGGGTTTGGCTTCCCCGCCAAAGCCTCAAACCCTCGAAACCCTCCTTGCCAGCAACGGTCACTTCACCCTCAAATTCTGCGTAAACACTTTAAATCACTATAAACATAGTATACTGTAGTATTGTATCTTTTGGTACACGATAGTAGATCCCTAAACCAAAAACCCTCTTTTTCAAACATACGACTATGCCCCAACGGCGTTTTCGGCCAGGGCCAGACCACGGAAGGGTCGAGGCCAAGCCACGAGCGCTTTCGCCCGAGCCAGCGAGGCCTTGGCTCCCCGAAGTTCGGGAGGAGAGTACATCATCATTAGGGTTTACTGCCTGGGAGAACCGTAGCATAAAATAGTATACTGTACTATTAATGATAGGAGTTTAGGATTACGGAACCATAGTATAATGCAGTATAGTCTAGTAAGAGCTTAGGATTTTCGGATTGGGGGTTTAACAAGTTTAGGTTTGTCCTGGTGCTCAAGCGATCCACGTCACTCTTCAGCTGACGAGAGCGAGCGACATGCTTACAAATATGGGTGGTTGTCAAAATTAGGGTTTTTTTTGGGTTCCTAATACAGGGACCCTAAGTTTGACAACTACTCATATTATGGCTGTCAGAACTAGGCCCCTGCGTGGTACTTTTTGCCCTTTTTGGTTTGAGAGTCCCCCCATTAAAGCCCAATAGCAGGAAAAAAGGTAGCCTTATGATAAGCCTGATCAGCGGGCTACTCAGGATACTCAGGGACCTGGAAAATATGACGGTTATGATGATTGCTGATGGCAAAAGGTTCAAAAGCAAGAGGGCGTGCCATTGATTTAAGCGGAATGGAAGGCTTCCGTGGTCCCGAGTCGTTGTTTCCGCGCGGTCCCGCAAAGCTAAAGCCGTAATCCTAAAGCCGAAGGTCCAGGAGCCTCAGCCCCTAATGCCCAGCAAGCACATACTATATATGTAACAGGTTAGTAGAATTGGTTCAAAATAATACACTTAATACACCATAAGATACTATACTGTACTAGACTACACTGGACTACACTATGACTTAGAATGTACTGTAGACTACAACATACACGGTGATACTATGTGAGTCGAGACTCCGAGGAACGCTCATAGAAGGGTCCCGTATTCAGGGGTTCTTAGAACACGGATCCTACTGCTATCCCGACTGCGTTTTCGGTCTCCTGTTTTCTGACATCCCCAAACTAAACGCCAAATCCCACCAAACTCGATGTTGCACCCCATGGCCGCAGCCCAAGCCTTGAGAGAATACTTGTAAAACCCAGACGCTTGAGACCCCGTTCCGAATCACACCTTGTAGGCCTGAAGAACATGACAGTACGAACAGGCTTCTTGCAGCCTGAAACCTAAATCCGACACTGCATCAAGAAGAGCAACACGAATAATACGTAACAAGAGGTGAATAAACGTACTGCCGGCGTAAACCCTAAACCCTCCTAAACCTTAAGCCCAAAAACCCGCCAGAAGCCCCGAGCAGCAGGCAAGGGCTCCAGCGCCTCTTCCAAGGGCTCCTGACACCAGATCAGGGGTTTGGGGCTTAATTACCCTTCTTACTGTTAGTACTATGATAACCTTAGATAGTGAACGGGGGAACTTTAAACTTTTGGGTTTGGGGCTTAAATACCCTTATTACTATTCTACAGTCTCCTTAGGATTTTTTTTATCTTTGTTCGTATAAAACCCAAGAGAATAGTAAGAATATTGTTTTCATTATGGTTCTAAGCGGGGTATATTACTACTATGATATCTATGATATTACTATTATTGCTAATGTAGGGACTGAAAAAGAAACCCTGGCCCCATAACCCCAACATAGTAGGATTCATATAAGGAACCTTGTTAAAGGTCCAAGGTTTCTTAATCAGGCTCCTAACATTAAGATAACTATTATGATTATGATTACAATGGTTATAAATGGTTACTAATAAGACCAGTGTTACAATTATTACTCTATTTAGACCTTTATGTTTTGGCACATGCTTAGTAGGGAGCTATAGGTTACCGTGTTGTGTCGATGCGGGTTTGGAAACTCTTGTGGTGAGACCGTAAGGACACGAATGGGGTTAGATGAGAAGGCTCCTGTCGCCTAGCGGCCTAGCGATTTATGGAAGACGTAGTGAATTTGCCTCCCCTAAACCCTAAACCCTAAACCGTGTGGGGTCTTGTTTTCGCAGCTGCTTTCTTCGTCTCCTCTCAGTGGCCGTCAACAGGACGGACTTTCACAGAGAGGACACGGAGGCATGCAGTGAGCTCTCGACCGCAGCTTAGGCACAGGAGGTGGTTGTGGTAATTGTGGCACTGGCAGTCGTCCAGGTCCCAACGTAACAAATCCTCAGTTGTACTGCGGGTGTGCAAAGTTGGGACTTTCCGGAAATAGGGGACCCTAATATAGTACCCTAAATAGTATGATCTTTATTATGAGGGTCCCAAAATAAGGGACCCCTATTTTCGGAAACTCCCATGTGTCAGTGCGAAGCTCCAACAAGCTCATGAAGATGCGGGGTAAGGACCGCTATCGGGGGATTCCTGAAACTCCGTAATCTGCAGGTTCTTAACCCCAAGCGATTAACCCTATAGGACATTGTAGAACCTTTTGACAGCCTGTTTCAATCAAACCTTCCAAAACCCTGCAGTCTTTTGGGCCCCTAGGCCCTAGGCTGCCCCCTACACCCGAAGCTCTCGAACCATGTCGACTCAGCTTTTGTTTGGGTCGCTACCGTTGATAATATAAATCCTGCATTACCTTCAGGACCCTAAACTATGAGAATTACGGTATATTCCCAAGGATCCTAGGTCCATTGGGTCTCTTTTTCTGAACCTCCTGCATGCGCGACAAGTGAAGCCCAGGACCAAGAGTAGGCCCTTATTCCTTTTTTTTCGGGTTCAGGTTTCCTCATAAGCCCTTTCAAACCAAAAGGAGCACCCTTTTGTATTCAACCCTAAACCCTATAGATCCCTTAAACCTATAGATCCCTTAAAGGAACCCTTTAGAGTACCATTCCTAGGTTACTCTCCGGTCTAGAAAGTGCTAACCCATGAACCTGAAAGGCGAGGGCCCCTCTACCTGAAGGAAACCTTGACCCTTGACCCCAAAAATTACGGGCCCCAAATACACACATGGGAGCTTTCGAAAATGTGGCGTGCCTGATATTTTGGGGTCCTTATAAGGATGCTACTATTTAGTACCATCTAGGGTGTAGGCTCCCGAAACTCCCACATGTCAATCTCCTCCGAGAGCTCGCTGCTTCTGTCACGGACCTTGCCCAATGCAGGCAAGGCTTTACAAGCCCTGCTGGGCTGCCAAATGCCAAACCCTACCTTAGGCTTGGGGGTGGGGCCTAAACTTTAAACTCCGACTCTCGGAACCCAGCGAGTCTTGCAGCCTTCTATTCCCATAGTCTTTTTACCCTTGAGGTTTTCAGCCACAAGGGTATAAGCCCAAGTGGCCCTCGCATGTTCGGGTATTGGAACTTGGGGTGAATGGTTTCAGCAGCAGGCTAATTGGCATCCAGGGTGTATCCTCCCGCGATTCAATGTCTAGGTTCCGGGGTCACTTGTAGGTGTCTGTATCGGGTTCAGGCTATCTCACCCAAACGGCCCTCTACCCAAACCGCTCTGACAGAAGATCAGCGCGCATGCCAAAAGTCTGTGATCCAGGCCATGTGCATCATCATCATCATCATCATCATCATGATTTCAGCATGTCTTTAGATATCTGTTTGTCTCATCAGTGTGTTCGCAGTTGAGCTTTCTTAGCAGAAAGATACGTGACTTCACCACCGGCTTGACTTCGGAGCGTCCTGTTGCCGCGCCTGCGCCGAGCTCGACAGGATACAAAGCTTTCCTGTAGCAGAGCTCGGGTCTACCGGCTCTTGGTTCCGTGACCGCGAAAGACCAGAAGAAGTGCTAGGAAGATCCAGAGTCATCCAAACTGTTGATGGTATAAATCTTGCACTACCCGTTTTAAGGTTTTACCATAGTTAATTCCCATAGTTTAGGGTCCTGCAGGTAATGCAGGATTTATATCATCCACCGAAGCACAGCACCAGTAGGGCTTCTTCCCTATGATTTTGAGCAGGGAGTGCGCGGCGGCGATGCCACACCAATGGTCAAAAGCTACAGCAGCTCTTACCTCTCCAGCTCCCGCCTCTGCATCTGCACCTCCTCGGGGATGCCAGTCCAGACAGCACAGAAAGACCCGAAGCAGCACAACCCTGACGCAGAGAGGGAGGGGCCTCTGAAAGGAGCCCAAAGCCCTAAGCTTCCGCTTCGACTCGAACATTCCAGGAAGGAACCCAGAGCCCTAAACCCCCAAGCCTAACCTGAAAAGCCCTCTCTTTGATGAGCCTCGCCCGCAGCGTCCGGCTGCTCTTCCTTCGGGCATGCTGCTCGGCCCGAAGTGGGCAGGTCTCGCACCTCCGGGGCTCCTTCAGATACTTTACTAGGTAGGGCTTTGGGACATTTTATATTTTTCCTTGTTGGGCTTAAGAGGATCTTATTTACTAATATTTTTCAAAGGCTCCAAAAGCCCCACCTAGTTTAGATAATCTTTCTTTCTAATCAAACGACGTGGGAACTGAAGCAGAGATGAAAGAGTATGATCTCTAAGGCGATCGAAGAACCGTGATGTCGAGTCTTAGAAACGGCATGGTCAGTAACGTTTACATGGTGAAAACCAGGACTAGCCACTGTGCAGATCCTACACATGCAAAATCCATGTATGGCATATTTATGCTACTGCTTGAAGTTAGGAACTCCTCTTGCAGGCACTCCGAAAAATGCTGATAAGCCCGAGACAGCAAGTATGTGTTTAAGGGTGTTCTGATTCTTACTTTTGGGGCTGTTCTTCTTGTCGTGAAACGGGCGTAAAACCGTAAAACTCCTTATCACGAGCTTAAGGCCTAAACCCTTGCCAAGAGCTTCAGGCCATCACATCCGAAGCTGCCCAGGCCACTGCAGATGGTCTGCCCAACAGTGCCAGGTCGCTTGCCAGGCGCCTTGTTTGTCCGGGACTTCCGAAGCCTTGAACCCAGAGACTCCAATATCCCTTAATGAAGGAGTATACCTTAAATCATATTACGGTAGGGGTCCTACTATAATATAAAGTATATTCCTTAATTAAGGGATATTGGAGTCTCTGGGAACTGCGAGCCCCGGAGAAGGCCTTCACAAGGAGCTGAGTATGAACCCAAAGACCCAAACCCCCCCCCCCCCCCCCCCCCGGTCACGGAAGACCCTGAACCCCTGGGCCGGCCTAAACAACCGACGCAGAAAGCTCGAGTGTATTCGAAGCTGCCGGCCCGAACTTTTAAGTGCTAGATCCCAGACCCAAAATGGGAGTTTCCGAAAATAGGGGTACCATATTTTGTAGTCCTTATAAGGATCCTACTATTTAGGGTACCATATTGGGGTCCCCTATTTTCGGAAACTCCCAAATACCATCCCTGACACACCGTAAGTCTCGAGCACGGTCGGCGGAACCAGGTGCGCGAAGAAGTTGCACCAAGGGCATGGCGATGGGCACGGGGCCTACCACAGCGCTTTGGTTTAGGATTGAGGGTTCCAGGCTGATGGGGTACCAGGAATCCCTTCTCGGAAACTCCCCTTGTTCATGGCCGTGGCGAGTCTACTACTTCCAGTAGTGGCGGCAGTGCTGTAGCACCAACATCGTCGTCGCCCTTGACGGTCGTCTTATTCATCATGCCAGGAACCTCGGTTTTCTGTGCTGACCATTGTTTTTCATCTCAACATCGGAGGTTCACAAACCAAGCTAGGATGCCCAGTAGTACCCTTATTCCCTTTTTGTAGTCCTAGGTTCCTTATAAAGTTACCCAATACCAAAAAGAGAGGCCTTTTTATTCTTAGGTTATTGGGTATCCTAGTCAACATCGGAGGTTCACAAAACAAGGGACCCCTGCATAGGCGACTCTGCGGAGCGGGGAGGATGTCCAGGCGAAGGGTCGACTTCGCAACTTTTAGTTGAGCTGTTCAGGGTTTAGGGATTTAGTTTCGCAACTTACAGGACCCTGGGTTGAGCTACTGATGCATTCATTGTTCGATGAATAGGTTTGATGAGAGGCCTGTGTTAGTTCTGCCATTGTCGTGTTTTCGGATTCGGGTGTGGCTGCACGGTGCTCTAGTGGGGCTGAAAGGCCATTCGCATGGTTTGCGACCCTGTTGGCCCTGATTCCTAAACACTTAGCCCTACACCCCTTAGTAGCTGAGTAGGTCACCTTTAACCTTTGGGGGTTTATCTAGCCCTACCATAATTGAAGAGGTTAACCTCTTTTTGGGGCTAGGGTACCCAGCCCCCCTGGTACCAGCCCTCCTTCCCAAGCTGCATCTCATGCCTCTGAGGTTGCCCTGGCCGTGCTGAGTCTAGACATTTGCATCAGCGACTTGGTTGCTTCTGGTGTATTCAGGGTTTACAGTAGGGTTCAAAAACCCTAAACCCTAAACCCCAAACCCTTAAACCGGGTTCAGGGTGACATTTGCATCAGCGACTTGGTTGCGAGCAGCACGGGTTCTTTCGGGAGTTCTCGCCACAGGGCTTGGGGCTAGGGCCCATCTCCTTTGCGGCTACCCGCCCGCCCCGCCACGACTAAGCTGGAGCGCGGGTACGATGGTTTGACCTTCAAACACTGGCTATTGGCGATGCTCATGTTAAGCAGCTGGCCACCAGGTGGCAGTTCCGGGTTGGGTGCCGTCTACTCGTGAGGGTACACAGTACGCAAACAGTAGTTCTTTGTGGCCATCGAGTCATGACTTCCACGGCTGCGGCCACTGCCGCAGCCAACCGCGGCATAATTGCTGGCTCAATCTTCGTTGAAGCTTTGTCGCTTGGACAGCCGGCTGTTCTGAACTTTGCTCACGATTTGTCTTGGACTTTGCAGTTAAGTAGAAAAGAAGCCGGCATCGAGTAATGCAGGAACCTGATTAAGAAGCCCTGGGGCCTATAAGCCCAAAATAGTGGCATTCATATAAGGAGCCCAAATAAAGACCCATGGTTTCTTAATCAGGTTGCTACATTATGTGATCCGATAGAAGCCTGAAGAGCGAGTTTGAGACACCCACAGGCTACAACAGTCCAAGGCTTTCTTGAAGTAAGTGGGAGTTTCCCAAATTAGGGGTGCCATATTTTTGGGGTCCTTATAATAAGGATCCTACTATTTGGGGTACTATATTAGGTTTCCCTATTTTCGGAAATTCACAAGTAAGAAACCTTATCTTCAACTCAGGGGTCCCTCACCTGAGTCGGAATGTCAACTGTCTCAGCTTTCCCCACAAGCGCGACCCGTGCAGACGAAGGGGAGTTGGGTCTTTCTGAAGTGTCCCTCAAAGGGATTCCGGCTCGGCTTACTGTCTTGATCTCGGGTATACTTCTTACGCTTTTCCTTGCGGGTGCCGAGTAATCGCGCATAAGGAGCTCCCTTGACCCTGAACCCGAAACCCCAGACACCAAAACCGTTGCCCCTTCGTGTCTGGCGCAGCCGAGGCTACGTTCCTCAGTACACGTTCGTGCCCATCCTCCGCGACTCGGCATGCCCTGCTGACTGAAGACCCCTGCGCAAGGGATTAGAGTCATGAGAGTCGAGATTAACCGGGACTTGCAGTAGGTATCCCCGTATTGGCTTCCTTAAAGGAAAGGGGTGCTGTTCACAGGGTCTGCATTGCTGATACCGCGTTCTGCCTTGAGTGTGCCTCTGCGCAGAAGCCCTATTCCGACCACAAGGCCCCTACTTAAGATCCACATAAGAAGAGCCTTATCAAACCGTAGAAGCCCTTACAAGACTCTACATCAAAGCCCTTATCAAACCCTCATAAACTACTGGTAGGTATCGATTTGGAGCATGTTTTAATATCCCGTACTGTTTAACCATAGAGCCAAAATTGCAAAGAAAACTTTGGGGACTGTTGAAATCGACACCTAGTAAGGACCTTGTAACCTCCCTCAAAGCTCCCCTAAGCCCTAAACCCTAACCCTGCCTCCGAGGTCAAGGCATGCACGCCTTCCACGTAGACGAGCCAGCCATGAACCTCGCTTCCGTTTGAGCCTGATGAGGTTAGGGTTTAGGGTTTACTTTAGGGCTGCGCAGAAGGGTTACTATAACGAGCAGGAGCAGGAGTAGGAGTAGGAGGCTGAGGAGGAGGAGGAGGAGGAGGAGGAGGAGGAGGAGCGGCAGCAGCAGCAGCAGTCTGGTGGTAGAGGTTGTAGTAGTGGTGCAGCAGAAGGTTAAGAAACAGTCATTTTTTCGTGAGGGCGGAGGCTCGATGTCTTACTTGTGAAGCGCACCTAGAAAAAAGTTTCGGGGTTTGAAGGTACCCTGGATGTCTTAACCCAAAGTTCTTAACTTGAAACGGCAGCAAACAAACAACAAATTCAAGAAATGAGAACATTGAAAGATCAGAGCCCGCAGCAGTTTCCATTTCAGCTCATTCGCTTATCCACTCGGGCATGGCCGCTTGTATTCAGCCCTTGCCAGAACCATCCCAAATAAGAAATTGAGCTCCTCAATTTCTTAATTTTAAGAAAATCCAGCCCCTCAATTTCGTATTTTGGTGGGTTCTGGGCTTGCCTCATGAGGGCTTAATAGCGCCGTAAGAACAGCTTTGGAGGGCTTTAGAGGCTTTGTAAGGGCTGAATAATAAGGGCTCAAATGAAGCTTTGCCCCTAAACCCCAAACCCTCAGTATGTGGAAACCCAATTTACAGATCGATGTTGGGCCGCGTGAATGTCCTGGTGATGTGGAGATGCATTTCCAGTTGTATGCTGCTCTATGGGTGGCCACAGATGACCTGCCAATTTTGCATCGGTGGGTGCACTTGACACTGGGTATATACGTTATACAGGGCCGGCCGGGTATGGCTGGGGCAACTCTTTGAAGACTTGTCCAGGGCGCTGGAGCCATCCCATTCCATGCTACGTGGCGACGTATGGACGTGGAATGCACTGGCAGCTAATTGAAAGCTGGTGGATACATTAGATACTGGTGGACATGCGGTTGCGGCTGGAGCATCAGACATCTCTGTTCCTATCTGGATTCCAGATTTGCACTGCTCCTGGTCCGGACTACGTCGGTAACTGCTGGCTGTATAGTATCGTCAGATCTTCCTCATGATATGAGCAGCTCCACTGGGTTGTGCTATTTGATGTGTCTGAAGCTGCCACATACAGTAAGGCAAAAGTGGAACATCATGCTCCGTGTGAGTTGTTCTGATTGTCGGGCATGCTTCACACATGCTGCCCGCAGACGCCTCAAGAGCTCTAGAGGCTCGATTCAGAGCCTTGTGATTGCATGACCTGCGCAGACAGAAAAAAGGAGCAGCACAGGCTGCACGGCACAGGACAGAGGACAGGGCCCAGCATTCCCGAGCCCCAATTCCCCGAACTTTTTAGATAGCTTCTGGAGGCCGAAAGCGACCGAAGCGGTGCAGACAGAATATTTTCCCTCCCCCCCCACCCCGTCCCCGCCACCTACGTATGTACACTACGTACAGGCGTTTGCACGTAGCGTGTGCAGGGCTAGGCTGAAGGTGTCCAGGAAGAATTCTCCTGGTTTCCGAAGCGAGTGTCTGTGATTAAACCATGCTTGTGAACGTACGCAGGCTGTGGCAGTATGCATAACAGTGGTAAGCACGAACGAACGATTCAGCCGTCCATGCTCCAGCCTGGTGGACATGATGATGGGCAACTTGGCCCAGATGGACCGCAACACGTCTAATAGACAACGCGAGTTTCGGTTTTCCTGGGATCGCCAAGACAGAGCATGGCGCGGAGCTGAATCTCCGAGTTTCGCTGTCTTTCAAGCACGGATGAGCGGTTGTCAGGTGGCAGGGGCTGGTATGGCCATGCGGTGCTTCTTTCGGAGTTGGGAGTTGTGCTGCAAGCATGGAGGTGTAATCCCAGTCGTCCTGAAACTTGGATGGGTTCGTTTTGCTTAGCCCTAAACCAAGTCCGGAGACTAGGCCAGGACTTCGCCAGCCCAGAAATGTAGTGCACTTTGCGTTTTATCACCAAGACACTCGAGCAGTCAGGATCGTTCAGCGGCTGCACTTGCTCTTTTGTTCTGTTATTGCTTCGTTACGATGTCAGACTTGAAAGTCTTGCCAAGATTATTTGTGCCACTGCCAAGCCTCGTCCACGCCTTTGGCTGGTGTGGTCTCGACTGGGTCGATGGCTCAGGGTTATAGATTGGAACCATGTAAGTTTCGGAGCTGTTGTGTAACATACAGCGGCCACACCTAGTGAACGGTAGCATTGAAAGCACCGGCCAACTTGGAAGATGCGATACCGCTCCGTCTGATGCCTTGGCAATTTCGGCGGGGTATCGCAAGTTGGGGATGTTGGTAGGCGTCTGGAGACAAGAACGTTGGAGATGCAGGTGCGCTTGGGGGACTACCGCAAGGGCAGCGTGAGC